TTATTATTATTATTATTATTAATACTGTGACCTACAATACAATCAGAGTTTCATCTAAGTCCTATTAATAGACAGAGACGAGGAAAGAGGCTGCCGGGACGACGTCTTCCCACACAACTTTATCAACCCGAGCTATGAAAACGGACGACACTGCCCTACGTCAGAAACGTCTCGGAAACCACCAACCGATTACTTCAACCACAGGGCATCGCTGTAGCACGCAACCCAATTAAAGCCCCGTCCATTTATTCTTAAGTAATAATATACTGCAAGTTAGCATCCTAGATTTTGTGTTATGTAGATTAAGGAGATCAAGAGGCAGTGGAATTTGGGCCCCAGGGCTCACCACTGGAAGCCTCACCTTCACATTCAAGATCTTCAAAAAAAAAACTTCTCGAGCAGAACATGCAAATATAGGCAGCGCAGTTGGCTGGAGGCAATACCTGTCCTACTGCAAAATCTAACTACAGGTGAATGCTCAGTTTATAACCATTCATTTAATGCTATATAAATCAAATCCCCTCGAGACAAAATCTAACCATAAACAATAACAGTAACAGAGTTGGAAGGGACCTTGGAGGTCTTCTAGCCCAACCCCTGTTCAAGCAGGAAACCCTGTACCATTCCAGACATGTGGTTGTCCAGTCTCTCGTTAAAAGGCTCCAGGGATGGAGCACCCACAGCTTCTGGAGGGAAGCCTTTCGTCTCCACTTAACTATTCTCATTGTCAAGAAATGTCTCCTAGGCTGCTTCTCTCCTTGATTAGTTTCCACCCGTTGCTTCATGTCCTGCCTTCTGGCGCTTTGACCTCCCCCCTTCTCTGTGGCAGCCTCTCAAATACTGGTAGACTGCTGTCATGTCCCCCCTGGTCCTTCTTTCCACTAGACTAGACATACCCAATTCTTGCAACCGTCCTTCGTATCTTTTTATCATCTTTCTTGCTCCTCTCTGCACACTTTTCAGAGTCTCAACTTCTGGGGCCCACCACTGAAGCCCAGAGGCCAGAGCAAAGGGTACAAACATTACAGCATCCGGAGACGCAGCTTTCGAAGGTGGGGACACGTATGAAATCTCACCAGATTTTTGTTGGTGCACAGGAACATGCTCTGTATTGCTATGGGCTCGGGGTGTCACATAGCGAATTGAAGTCTCTTCGAGATACTTATCTACAAGATCCGGACATACTGAGAAGGGAATAAAGGAAAACGTGTGAAAGACAAAATGTCAACAACAACAAAATAATTTGAAGTATAGCTAGTCCTTGACATACGACCACAACTGAGCCCAAAATTTCTGTTGCTAAGTGAAAAATTTGTTAAGTGAATTTTGCCCCAGGTTTAAAACCTTTCCTGCCACAATTGTTAAGTGAATCACTGCCGTTGTTAAGTTAGTGACACGGTTGTTAAGTGAATCCGGCTGCCCCCATTCACTTTGCTTGCTAGAAGAGTCACCAAAGGGGAGTACGTGATCCCAGGATGCTGCGACCGTCATAAATATGAATCAGTTGTCAAGTGTCTGAATGTTGATCACATGTTGTAATGGTCGGAAGTGTGAAAAGTGGTCATAATTCACTTTTTTCAGGGCCGCTGTAACTTTGAATGGTCACTAAGTGAACTGTTGCAAGATGAGGACTGCCTGTACACAGACATACATGATACCATCCTGAGGTTTCTACCCAAGAAGAGAAAGGGGAGTTTTAAATGACAGTTCTTAAGAAGGTCAGATGCCGACGGGCGCCTCGCCTGAAGACAGGGGCCTCCTGGGAAAGGCCCAATCCGCCAGAGCCGCCCCTGCCTTTTTCTTTCCTGTTTTCATTTTATCCCAGCTTTAAAGGGCAAAAACGGAGTAAGCCTCTATTAGGCAGAACCAGAGCTGAGAAAGCCCCATCCAGCCATGCAGACGAGCAAGGGATGAAGGCAGCAGAGCAAGCCTCACTTTTTTGTTTTGGTTTTTAGAAGCAGCAGGATGGAATTCAGCGGATGGGTCAGACAGGGGTCTTGTCTAGCCCAGGGAAATAACGCAAAAAGGTCGCTGCACAAGTTGCACGAGGCCTTTTCCGTGGCTGCACGCAGGCATTCGTTTGCAGGGTCCAGCTTGGCAAACCTTCTGGAACCTTCACGAATGGCTGAGGGTTAGGGTTTCCCAAGCTTGGCCCCTTTGAGATCTGTGGACTTCAACTCCCAGAATTCCCCAGCCAGCTTGGGCAAATGTGGACAGGTAGTCCTCCACGTACAACTATTAGTTTAGCAACAGTTGTAATTCAAACTTACAACGGCATTGAAAAAAGGGATGACTGTCGCAACGTCTCCACAGTTACACGATCAAAATTTGGGCAGTTGGCAACCAGCCTGTATTTAGGACCCCTGCGGACCTCTGGGGTCATGTGACTGACCTTCCCAGCCGGCTTCTGACCAGCAAAGCCCGAGGGGAAAGGCAGACTTGCTTAATGACCCTGTGATTCACATTAACAACTTCAGGGATTCGCTTAACAACTGTGATTAAAAAGTTCGTAAAATCAGGCGCAACTCACTTAACAACCGTCCTGCTTAGCACAGGAAATTCTGGTGGTCGTAAGAAGAGGACTCCCTGCATAGGTCCACAAACGAACGGAGATGCTCTATGGCCCCCCCTCCCCTCAGAAAGCCAAGCGGGAGGCGACCTACCAGCCTTCCTCCTCTTCAAAGTGACGTAGGGCAACAAGTCGTGGCGGGTGATGATCCTCAACAGCTGCAGCACCTGGCGGAAGTTGGTCTCGTCGCAGCGGCCCTGTCGCTCCAGCGCCAGGAGGAAGTCCCGCCCGCTGCGGATCATGCCCCGCTCGTAGTCGTCGATGACGTCCACAAAGAGAAAAGACAGCACCCGGACATCGCGGTGAGTCAGGTGGGTGCCCACAATGTCAAACATGCGGTGCAAGCTGTAGAGGCCGTGTTCCCGGTCACCCTCCTCCTCCGGCCAGGCTTGCTGGGGGCTCCGTTTCAAGGCCCCCATCTTGTGTGACTGCGAGAAACGGCCCCGGCCGCCCAGCATCCAGGGGAACGGGGGAGATGGTGGGTCTCCTTCACCTGGGCCGCTGAAAGAGAGACAAGCGCGTCGGGTTCAGAGCTGCAGGCCCTGGGGGCCCTTCAGGCTGCGGTCTGGGCTGAGCAGGCATAAGTTAGGGGAGACGGCCAGCTGCGCTGAAGGGTTTTGCCTAGTGACTCAGTCTGCGGGGCCCTGGGTGCTCTCTGAGCCTGGCGGCTTTCTTGCAGATGTTTCATGACACAACTAGGTAACATCACTGGTGTTAGAAGGGATTGTGAGGTTTGCGAGGAGGACTGTGGGGTCCTTGGGGCTCTCTGAGCCTGGAGCTGTTCTTGAAGACATCTGCGCAGACCCACCAAAAGACGGCTTCCCTGACGGGACCGATGGCAACCCAGCCCAGCCAGACTTTCAACCGACAAGAGCAGCTGGAGGACAGTGGGCCTCTTACCCGATACCCGAACCAAGCCCTGGAAAGCCTTAGAGAAGCCAACTGGCGTATTCACTTCCCTTCCTCCGAAGGCCCCAAACTATTCTCCCCAGACGGGGATATCGGTAACTCTGGGTTGAATGTGGGCTCCTTGGCTGCTAACTGAGCTCGGTGGTTTTCTTGCAGACGTTTCATGACCCAAATAGGAAACATCATCAGTGCTAGAAGAGAGCGGGGTGTGGTGGGGAGGAGGAGGACTGTGGGGTTCTTGCTATTCTCTGAGCTTGTTTTCTTTCAGACATTTCATGACCCAACTAGGTAACATCATCAGTGGTAGAAGGGAGGAGTTTGTTCTCTGTTTAGCACGGTTGAAGTTACCTAGTTTGGCAATGAAATGTCTGCAAGGAAACAACCAGGCTCAAAGAGCATCAAGGACCCACAGTCATTGTCGTGGTGCTCCTCCTCCTCCTCCTCCTCCTCCTCCTCCTCCTCCTCCTCCTCCTCCACGCCCCTCTCTCTTCTAGCAGGGAGCAAACCACACGCTCAGTAGGACTGACGCTCCTTAGTTATTTTATTTATTTATTTATTATTTTATTATTTAAATGTATATACCGCCCTATCTCCCTTACGGGACTCAGGGCGGTGAACAGGCAATAATAAAAATCACAGTAAATATTACATAAAAGCCTGCTCTAAAATATAAAACCCCTAACAAAACCCAATCAAAACTACGCCAGGCCGGCCGCATGGAACAGATGAGTTTGCAGGGCTCGGCGGAAGAGGCGCAGGTCCGCAATTGTACGTAGGTCGGGGGGCAGGTCATTCCAGAGGGCAGGAGCTGCCACAGAGAAGGCTCTCCCCCTGGGGGTCGCCAGCCGGTATTGTCTGGCCGACGGCACTCTAAGGAGGCCCTCTCTGTGGGAGCGGACTGGTCGAAGGGAGGTGTTTGGTAGGAGGCGGTCTTGCAAATACCTAGGTCCATTGCCATGGAGAGCTTTATAAGTTGTTACTAACACCTTGAAGCGCACCCGGAAGGCCACCGGCAGCCAGTGCAGCTGGCGCAGGAGAGGTGTTGCATGGGAGCATCTAGAGGCCCCCAAAATCCCCCGCGCAGCCGCATTCTGAACTAGCTGGAGCCTCCAGGTGCACCTCAAGGGGAGCCCCATGTAGAGAGCATTGCAATAGTCCAGGCGGGAAACGAGGGCTTGAGTGACTGTGCGTAGGGCGTCCCGATCCAGAAAGGGGCGCAACTGGCGTATCAGGCGAGCCTGATGAAAAGCCCCCCTGGCCACGGCCGTCACATGATCGTCTAAAGAGAGCCGAGCATCCAGGAGGACGCCCAGGTTGCGGGCCCTCTCCGCGGGGGCTAATGACTCGCCCCCGATAGCCAGAGATGGAACCAACTGGCTATGACGTGACGCCGGAAACCACAGCCACCCGGTCTTAGACGGGTTGAGACGAAGCCTGTTCCTCCCCATCCAGACTTGCACGGCCTCCAGGCACCGGGACATCACTTCCGCGGCATCGTTGGGGTGGTCCAGGGTGGAGATGTACAGCTGGGTGTCATCTGCGTACTGATGATACTCCACCCCGAAACCATGGATGATCTCACCCAGTGGCTTCATATAAATGTTGAACAGGAGAGGCGAGAGGACCGACCCCTGTGGTACCCAAGTGAGGCGCCTCGAGGTTGACCTCTGCCCCCCTGCCAACACAAATTGCGTCCGGTCCAAGAGGTAGGAGGAGAACCACCGTAAAACAGTGCCCCCCAACCCCAACCCCCCTAACCGGTGCAACAAGATACCATGGTCGATGGTATCAAAAGCCGCTGAGAGGTCTAGCACGACCAGGATAGAGGAACACCCTCTATCCCGAGCCCTCCAGAGATCATCAACCAACGCGACCAATGCCGTTTCCGTGCTGTGCCCAGGCCGGAAGCCGGACTGGCGCGAGTCTAGATAGACAGTTTCTTCCAGGTGCTGAGGGAGCTGTCGTGCCACCACACTCTCAACAACCTTCGCAAGAAAGCGAAGGTTGGAGACAGGCCAGTAGTTGGCCAAAGCAGCCGGGTCCAGGGAGGGCTTCTTGAGGAGGGGCCTCACCACCGCCTCTTTCAAGGCGGCCGGCAAGAACCCCTCACTCAAAGAAGCGCTGACGATTCCCTGGAGCCAGCCTCGTGTAACCTCCCGGGAGGCCAGTACCAGCCAGGAGGGACACGGGTCCAGTAAACATGTGGTGGTGTTCAGCCGTCCCAGTTAGGTAATGAAACATCTGCAAAAAAAAATAATAATAAGCTCAGAGAGCATCAAGGATCCCACAGTCCTCCTCCTCCTCCACCCCCCCCTTCTAATTGGGTCATGAAACATCTGCACGAAGCCACCCAGCTCAGGGAGCACCCAGGGCCCCACAATTATCTCTACTGCTTTCCCCCTGGCCTTGTTGGGGGGGGGCTTCTATGACTCTGAGGAAAGGCAGGAAAAGAAAGCTCCTCCAAAGCTTCAGACTCTCACGTAACAGAAGAAGCAACCAAGTTGGTCAGGAGAACTTAAGAGAAACCCAAACCGTTCTACAAGGAATCATTTTGAATGCAATTAAAATACAATCCTTTTATTACAATTTTTCTTGGATCAAGGCCCAACCGACGTGCTAAAGTACATTTCTTGGTCAGGGACGGCTCTTTTAGTGCCAAAAGTGCTTAAGGAGTATGCTTAAAAATACTTTTTTTGGGGGGGGGGGGGAAGGAGAGAGGCCGGGAGCAGGAAAAAAAAGGTTTTCTTCAAAATGGATTTTTTTGATTGAAATAATGCTAGCAAGAATTCCAGGCCATGGACCTGCCTGCTGGTTTTTGCCCACATGACACACCGGGAGCAGATTCCGACTGCGTTCCGGGCCCATAAATTCCCCACGTGTGACAGCTGTGCCAGCAAACACTCCAGGCCACATTCACACAACACCTTTGAAGGTTCTTCCAGAAAAGTCACCACATATAAAAGCCATTTGCAAATAGCACTGTCTTTAAAGAAGGACCTGATCTGAGCAGACGAATCACTGCCATTCAAGAAGCCTTCAACACAAGTCCTCGACTTATAACCAGTCACTTAGCGACCATTCAAAGTTACGACAGACCTGGGAAAAGGTACTTATGCCCCGATTTGAAGTTCCAAAGGCTGCCCCCTCCCCCGCAGTCATGTGACCACATTTTGGGCACTTGGCAACCAGCTGACATTTACAGCTGTTTACAAGACCGTGGTTTATGCTTTTGCTGAAAATTGTTATTTATTTCCAGTTTCCAATAAAAAAAATGCCCCGTAGCGAACAATGGTTATACTTAACGACCACAGCATTCACTTTACAACTGCCACAAGAAAGGTCATTAAAATCAGTCACGGTCATAACCATCAGGACCTATGACCGTAATTAGGCGCTCAGTTACAGGACGTAAGTCAAGGACTGCCTGTACCGAAAGGGTGACTGAATATCTGAACCATCCCAACTGGAAAAGAAGGAAGAGACGAGACGAGACAAGAAGGAAAAAAAACCCAGTAAGATTGTCAGTAAGGAAGACGATCTTGTCCCGTATCAAGGAATTGGAAAGTATTTCTCCTAGGTATTATACAAAATCTGGATGTAAAAGAAACGAACTTGATGTTATACTGCTTAACTGCTGCCCGTTTATTGATAGCTCAAAATTGGAAGAGTAAAATTTTACCTACAATGGAGGACTGGAGATTGAAAGTTTCATACCTTGCTGAGATGGCAAAGATTTCGGCTTATTTGAAGAATCACTCAAATGAACAATTTTTATTAATATGGAGAAGATGGATTGTTTATATTCAAAAGAAGCATAGAGTGGTGGAATATAATTTAGGTTTTTAGAAAATTTTTTCTTTTCTTTTATATATTTTACCTATTCATGTAGAATAATATACTTTGTGGAGTTAGAGATATTAATATTTGTTTAATTATATCTGAATATTATCCTGGGATTGGTTTGGGAAGTCCGGGGGGGTGGGGGGTTTTTATATAACATTGTGTAATATTTGTGGGGAAAAAAAAATTTTTTCTTTTTTATTTTTCTGAAAAACAATAAAAATTTTATATTGAAAAAAAAAAAAGGAATTGGAAAGTTCAGCAACGGCCTTAGGAAATACGCAACTGAACCGAGCAAGTATGTTGCTGAGTGAGGAATCTGTTAAGTGAGTTTTGCCCCATTTTATGACTTCTGGCCACAGTTGTTAAGTGAATCACGGCAGTTGTTAAGTAAGACAGTGGTTAAGTGGATGACTTTGCTTGTTAAAAGGTCGCGAAAGGGAATCCCAGGGCACTGCAACCGTCATAAATACGAACCGGCTGCCAAGCATCCCAGTGTAAATCATGTGGCCAGGGGGATGCTGCAGCGGTCGTAAGTGTGAAAATGGCCGTAAGTCATTTTTTTCAGTGTTGTTGTAACTTCGAACGGTCACTAAACGAACGGTTGACTTCAAAGTCCCAGGCTCATCGCCTTGTAACTGCTCCAGAATCTCAGAAAGCCACTTGTAAA